CTCTGAGCCCCACCTACCCCACAGGGTGTCTGTTGTGGGGAGGGGAAGGGAAAGGAGTTTGTAAGCCGCTCTGAGACACCTTTGGGTAGTGAAGGGCGGGGTATAAATCCAATCTCTTCTTCTTCTTCTCACAGGCAATGCTCCCTCTAAGCTGTGGAGTCTTGTGGGCAAAAATTCTGCTTTGTGAGCTACTGGCATTAAAGTTGTGAGTGAGCGATTTGGATACTGCATAAATTAGTCTGTTGTGGATCCATCCTTCCTGAGCGAAGACAAAAATGTGTGAGCCAGAGGCTAAAAAACTGTGAGCTAGCTCACACTAACTCATCTTAGAGGGAACACTGCTCACAGGGTGTCTGTTATGGGGAGAGGAAGGGAAAGAAGATTGTAAACTGGTCTGAGACTCACTGAGACTCCTTCGGGTAGTGAAGGGTGGGTATAAATCAAATCTCTTTTTCTTCTTCTTCTACTACAACAAATTGTGTGCATTGAACAGTGCTTCCAAATAAATTAGACTTTCCCATCTTGATCATAATTCAATGGTCTTCAGTCTTTCCAGATGTAGCACCCACCTTTACCCCCCAGGCTGCAACATAGGATTCAGGGAGTTGCAAGCATGTGGTAAGGCAGTCACAGGACATCAGCCATGTAACAAGGCAGAGCCCATCTGAACCTGCTTGAGCTACAAAGGACTTCTCTCCACTGCTTAGTTACATTGCCCTGCTGTGTGCATGTGTGCAAAGAGAAGCAGGAGGCATTTGCTTACTATGTAAGCACACTAGTAGTGCTTCCTTCCAAAAAAATCAACAAAACAGTGGCAGCTCTACAGGGGGTTTTTTTGATGCAGTGGGTGAGGTTTCCTGACTCTCCTGAAGGTCCTGGCCCCTGTGTTGAAGACAAAAGTCAAAGCTATCCTTCTTAAAGGGGCCACTCACATGATTTCTGGCTAAGCATGAATATGTTCCACAGGAGTGGGGAAGGGGTAATTATTTTGCACTGTTTGTATAAAAAAGGGACCTCCCAAACATATCAATGAAATGCTCTTGAACAGAACAGAAAACTTTGATAGGTGGCTGGAATTTTGTTCTTTAAAGCTGTAATGTAATGCATGCTCACTTAAATAAAAAAAAATGTATCAAAGCACCTAGTAAAAACCCTATTAGATCAGGTTCAAAGGTCCATTTGGTGCAGCATCTTGTTTCCCAGGGCAGCCAGATAAATGACTCCAAAAAGCCCATAAGCAAGGCATGAAAACAACTGGATCCAACTGATATTTAAAAGGCCACTGCTCCTGAACATGGACTTTCCCTTTAGCCATCTTGGATAATTGCCAACGAGTCCTTTCAGGAATTTATCTAATCCCCTTTGGAAGGCATCTAAGATAATGGTCACCCTAAGGCCAGATCTGGGTTGGAAAATACCTGGAGGCTTTGGGGGTGGACCCAGGAGAGGGCGGGGTTTGGGGAGGGGCCTCAGCATGGTACAGTGCCATAGAGTCCACCCTCCAAAGCAGCCATTTTCTCCAGGGCAGCTGATTTCTGTTAGCTGGAGATCAGTTGTTGTAAAAGCGAGAGTTCTCCAGGCCCCACCTGGAGGCTGGCAGGCAGCCCTACTGGGCTGCCACTCCCCAAATCTGTGTCTCAGATTCTATTTTTATCCTCTTCTCTCCCCCCCACCCCACCCTTAGGTGGTGGACAACGGCTTGCAGTTGCTTTTTAAAACGAGAAGACCTAGCAGCGGCGGCAGCAGCTTTGGCCAGGCCAGGCTTTGGCGTGCTCTGTGGGCAGAGGCAGAAGCGGATCTCTGCACGTGCTGAAACGCCCCGTCCGTACCTCCCAGGGTGGGCGCCTGGTCTGATCCCATTCAAAGCCCTAGCACAGGTTCTCTCTGGGATACTTCCGAGCGAAGCGCAGACAGCGACGGCGACGTTATCCGGACAGGCACCCGGAGGGCGGCAGGCTCTCCTTTCGCGGGACTCCGGGGCGGTGCTTGGGCTCGGCGAAGGCGGCGCTGGGAGGAGCCAGAGGCCGCGGTAGCGCCCGGCGCGGGAGTACCGGAGCGCCACGAAGGGAGGTCAACTTGCAGGCAGCCGGGCGTCTTGACTCGCGGGGAGCCCTGGTGGCGTGCGGGGGCTGGCGTGGCGCTCACCCGATGCTTGGCCGAGGAGCGCGCGGGAAAAAGCTACAGGTGGGGACGCCCCCCCCCCCCCAGGCCCCCCCGGGGGGACCCCCCCAAAAACTTGGGCCGGGGGGGGGCGGTGAGGTGAGGAACGAGCGGGGTCTTTATGAGCGGGAAGGAGTGGCGGTTGGGGGGGGGGGGGAGTGTTGGAGTTCGCTGGTCTCGGCGCAGCCCTGGACGGTTTCCCCGCCTCCTGGGGGAAGTTTGAGTTCGACTGAACGAGTGAGGGTTACCTGGCGGAGGAGCGCGTGCCACTTTCCCCAGCTCCTTTCTCCGCCTCAGGGAAGGGGGAGTCGGGATGGGCATTCCTTTCATAGCCCTCGCCTCGCCCTCAGAAAAAAACCCCGGGGGGGGGGGGGGAAGCTGAATGACTACAGTGAAAGGCGATGGTGGGAATGCTAATAAGGCGGACAATGAGAGAGAGTTGCCCAGCTATTGGCTGTGCATGTGGAGATACGTGGGAATCGCCGGAGAGCCCAGGGGGAAGGAGGGGTTCAGCCAAGAAAAAGGAAGGAAACTAATCCTCCTCACCCTCGAAGGGGTTTAGCAGATAGCAGTAATGATAATAAAACCCTAACTATCAGGCAGGCTGTCACAGTCCAACGAAAGCATATCAGATCGTTTAAAAACCCCATCCTCCAGGGCTTTATCGTCTGTATGAGGATGGCCTCTGGAAGAGGAGCCCTGTCAGGCTGGGGAAACAACACAATCCAGTGGCTTCTTAAAGGCTAACATGTTTTATCGGATGTTTACTGGGTGGCTGGTGAAGTAGATTCTTGTCTCTCAACGCTGGTGCCATCGTAAATGTGTGTATGGTAAAAGTGCAAATAGATGCTGCTGTGTTATCCAGATCAGGGCTCTTTATGATGTGAACCTAAGTCCGGAATCTAAGGAAATGCGTGCCTTAAGTTCAGTGCTCTTCTGGGGACTTTGACTTGTGGTTCTTGGAAGAGCAGCCTTATGCCAAGTGACTTGTGGTTCTTGGAAGAGCAGCCTTATGCCAAGTGTGGCAGATGGTGTTTAAAAGGAGAATTTGGAAAGTAATTTGTGATAGGGCACGGAGGTCTGTGTTCAAAGAAAAACAAACAAACAATGCAGGAAAGCCCTTGGCTGCACTTGACTAAAGTGGTTCCTTGGGTTACAGCCAGTGTTCCCTCTAAGCTGAGTTAGTCTGAGCCAGCTCCCAGTTTTTTAGCCTCCGGCTCACACATTTTTGTCTCAGCTCAGGAAGGATGGCTCCAGAGCAAACTAATTTATGTAGTAGCCAAACCGCTCGCTCACAACTTTAATGCCAGTAGCTGACAAAGTAGATTTTTTGCTCATGAGACTCTACAGCTTAGAGGGAACATTGGTTACAGCCCTAATTTTTAAGCAGCAGCTTCATTCCCAGAACAAGATCATTCATTCACACTTTGCCTTTGCTGGAAACTGTAGGGTGCACCTGGAAATATACTAAAAATATGCCTTGATGGCACGGGTGCTGAGTGTCACCATATGTCAAAGTCCAGATTTTTCATCATGAACGAAAGAGCACAGAAACAGTAGGAAATATATGTACGGTGAAAGAATTGCAACAGATTGCAGTTGCTTGTAAGTAGGCTCCCTGAGCTCAGTATTGAAACACCCTTTCTAGGTGTTGTGTTACCATTAGATAATACAAAAAATTCTTCACTTGCCCGACTGATGAAAAGTTTTGTGTGACATGGCACAGGCTCATTCACTGACAGAAGTTGATGCAATTGGGGGAAAAACAACACCCTACCTGTTTAGTTTCTCTTTTTCTGATGCAGCCATGGCAGCAGCCATGTACTTTGACCTATTCTTGGCAAGTATTTCCTTCTGTTATTTAGTAGTCCCTGAAATATGTTGCTCTTTATGGCAGATGTCTGTGGAACAAGAAATGGCCTACCATCAGTACATTAAAACTAAGTAAACAAAACAACAACAAAACGATCCTTTAAAAAAACCTTTCAAGTTCTTTGCTGTCATTGTACAGGCAGTCTTTGAATTATATTGTTTTTGTGGGGATAGATGGAATCTTTCTGTAAGTAATAGAACAAAATAGGAGCTGTGGTGGCTCAAGTGGTTAAGATGCTGAACTGCAGACTGTGGAAGGTTGGTAGTTCAGCAGTTCGAGACCAGAGTGTGCCGCATGACGGAGTGAGCTCCCGTCTCTAGTTCCAGCTCCTGCCAACCTAGCAGTTCGAAAGCAAAAAATTGCTAGTAGATAAATAGGTACCACTTCGGTGGGAAGGTAACAGCGTTCCGTGCGCCTTGGTGTTTAGTCATGCCGGCCACATGACAATGGAAACGTCTTCGGACAGCGCTGGCTCTTTGGCTTTGAAACAGAGATGAGCACTGCAACCCTAGAGTTGGACTCGACTGGCTTTTGAGCAAGGGAACCTTTACCTTTACTAATAGAACAAAGTTAGAGTTCAGTGGCACCTTTAAGACCAACAAAGTTTTATTCAAGATGTGAGCTTTTGTGCACATGCATACTTCGACAGATGATGAAATGGAATTACATATTATAGTTGTATATAGTGAGAATATTTTTTTAAGCAGATCAAAAGAATGACAAGCTGGTTTCTGGTTATAATCTGTTTCGGTTCAAGGGGGGGGGGACAACATAGGTAATAAATATGCTAGAACTGGAGATTGATGTGTCCTAATTTTTGAGAATCCTATCCTTGATCTTTCTGTAAGTAAATTTTAGATTTTCAGATTGTGAGTTGCTTCTGAATGATTAATTATTTTTTTTTAATTCTCTTGTCTTCTTGTTAAGAAGGACAGATCACATTCCTGTCTCAATGTTGGGTTGACCCTAGGACTTGATTATGGATGGCCAAAATGAAGTGGACATTTCGAACAATAATGTTACACCGTTGTGGCGAAGGAGGACAGCCCACCACGTCAATTTGCATGCAAAAAGCAAACCCAGGCCCCAGTCCTATCAGAGCTCCACTGGGGTCCTCTTCACGGATTTCCCTGTGGAAGACAGGGACATGTTCACTTTAACTCAGCCTGCTGAAACAATAATTACTTCACCGGACAAGAAAGCTGCTGAGAAGATTCCTTTGCATTTCAGCTGCAGCCTCAGTTCAGTACCAAATGGGAAGGTTCAACTTCCAGAGAGCAACTGTATGTCCCCTGGGCTTTCTGACAGGACGTCTCAAGTCCTGAAAATGGTTTCAAATAATTCTATAAATTGTACAGCTAATGGTTCTATTTCAGCAGGCAGCAAACTGGTTCATCCAGCAAGGGTTTCCGATCAATCATCACGTAGCCCCGAGAAGGAGCAAATTGTTTTCACATCGAGGCTTGGATTTTCTCCCACAGGAAATGTGCATTCACCAAACAACAACAAAAGCACTGCCGCAGCATTTCAACCAAGTCAGCCCTCTAAAACGTCAGAGAAGGCACCTGTTTGCTTGTCTCCTTCCGAACAGCAGCTTCTACCTCTTCAAGGACTGACATCGAATGAGAATGAGCTCACAGAAGCACAGCCTGTGGTTTTGAGTACAAATAGTCCTGCTGCATTAAAAATGGGGAAGCAACAGATCATCCCTAAGAGCTTGGCTTCTGAAATAAAAGTAACCAACAAACACAGTAGCCAAAATGGGGAGCCAAACAGGAGGGCTCTTAAAGTTCGCAGCATGGTGGAGACTGTTAATGCACCTTTGGTAGCTGGTAAAGATGAAGAAGGTGATGTGGATAGCCCAGGGATGCTGAGACGTGGTTTGAGGTCTACTTCATATCGGCGAGCTGTTGTGAGTGGGGTTGAGTTTGACAGTACAGTCAACTTTAAGAAGAAGAACAGAATGTCCCAGCCAGTGCTGAAAGCAGTGGTTGAAGACAAGGAAAAATCTTCTAGTTTAGGAAGAATAAAGGTAAGTAGACAGACAATATTTGATTTTTCATCAACATAATCACTGTTTTTCTGAATTATATAGTACAGTCTTGTGAGATGGACTTGCTCAAAGCCATCCTACGAGCTAAGCTACCTGCCAAAATAGTGATTCATACTTTAAGTGTGCATTTATTTATTTATTTATTTATTTTGGGATTTGTACCCCGCCCTATACGGTAGCTCAGGGCGGCTGATGTGTCTGATGTTGTGAATACTGTCAAGTGAGAAAGAAAGATGCACATCTGAAAGCACATAATAGACACACAGGGCAAAGACAAGGTTTGTACACGTGCTCTTTATACAGAAGTACCATTTTCTGTCTGGGTGTGCGCACCTATACTCTGGAAGAAGATGATAAAAGAGCTAGAACTCCTTTCCCCATTCATGCCATCTACCTCACCTGCACTGGCTCATACATGATGATGGAGGAAATTCAGTTCAGCCAGGAAATGATGGAAGAGGGTAGGAGTCAGAGGTGACTTGATCTGCCCAGGGCACTTTCACTCTTCCTTTGAGAATGGGATATGTTTGTGAAAATGTAAGAGGAGAGAAGTTGGTGACTCTGGAATTGGAGTAGAGTAGAAAGAAATATCCTCTACAGGAGAGTATCTGAGGGCTGTCATCTCCTAATTTGCAGCAATGGCAGCTACTTGGGAATGGACTGAGTAGAACTTTCTCTTATCACCTCTTTGGAAATAGTTTGATTTTTGTAAACTTTTTCCTTGGATTACAGTCTAAACGTAGATATGTTAAGACATCAGTTTCTTGGCCATTGAGGTTCACTGTCATTTGATTTTTGAACAACTTATTTTTTTAAAGGATGGCTTTTACGTTCCTTTTCCTTTTACTGTGGCTGCGGTCACACGGAACATTAGCCACGCAAGAGAGACGGAAGACAGGCGGAGTTTCCAGGCGCGATCTCACTGGCACATCTGGGAAGCGTAGCACTTCCGTGGCACAACCAAGGCTTCCTGCCGAAAACATGCAGCAAAAAACTAGTACCTCGAAGGTACTAGTTTCCAGAAACCGTGGGGCAAGGGCGGGCATCTGATCGTGTTTCTGGTGGCATCCGGCGCCCGCCCATGTCCCCTTGCGAAAAAGTTTTTTTTTCTCCCAAGACACTGTGGATGCACACATGCACCCAACGGAGCATGCACATTCATCGTGTACACAAAAAAAGAAAACCAGTTTGCCGCACCGCGCACTTCTTCGTTGCGCGCAGGCGTGTCCTGTGATCAGCACCTCTCCCTACCCACAGAACCTCCACGGTACCTCCACAGAACCTCCACAGGAGGTCTGATCGCTTAACCGCGCGTTAGTTTGCCCCGGGGCAAACAGCCACGCTCCCCCCCCCCCGCAGTTTCCTGCCCATGTGACTGGAGCCTGTGTCTGCTATTCTGCTATTTAGATTGTGAAACTGGTAGGAAGTCCTGTTCAAAGCACTGTGAGTTCTCCCCCCGCTCTTAATATTATATCTGTAATATCACAATACCTATAGCTTCTTCAACATTCATTTTCAAAGACTCAGTGATATGCATCTCTTCTTATGCAGTCACCACACAAACATCAATGTGCATGGTACCCATGGCTTCCATATAAAATGAAAATTGGCCCAGGTGGGGATTTGGACTAAGTTTTCTCACATATAGATAGGCCTAGTGTTGTTTTCACCAGAGCACACCAGCTCTTTGTGTTGTTGTCAATTTCTATATAGCCCTTTCCAAAAACATTATTTGCTTTGTATGTTGTGCAATTTTATCTTGGTATCTTTGTGCTTATGCGCTGAACTGGAATTGGAAAATTTGAAAAACACAGGAGGCTTTCTTCCTGTACTGGGTAGAAAGATTCCCACTGCACATTTTGCACAACCATTGTGGATCTCGGAATATAGATTGGCCAGGACTGGCGGGGATGGATATCTTAATTGGGGAGAGGAGAAGTACAGGGCTGGAATATCTCTGTCCCTTCAAAACCACTAATTAAGGCAAGCCTCCCGAATGATGAATAAGAAACTAATGATAGTTCTTTACCTGTTGCTGTATGCCTTTGGGTTGTCAGGTTTATTAGCTGCATTCAGTTTGCTACAATTCCTTTTGTATGTGAACAAAAAGGAAACTGGCATATCCCAAAGGATTTTCCACACCACAAAATAAATGAAGTGGTGCACAGGTGGGTTACCATAAGTCAGCTGTGACTTGACAGGACCCCACTAAGGTAGTAGTTACTCCCAAGTAAATGTTGTTAGATTGGCATCTTTAATAAAGCTGAAAAGTATGCAGACGGAGAGTGATTTCAGCTAAGCATACCTTTATTTGGTTCAGGACAAAGACAACTGACCAGCTCGCAGGCCGGTTTATATGCGTTCAGAAAACCCGCCACCAGGGGTCTTGTTGTAGAAAAAGAGCTGCCGGAGCTCATTAGCATACCTCATTAGCATAACTTATTTGCATATGCCACACCCCCTGACATCACCGGAAGTGACAGAAGGCCACACCCCCTGACCTCACCGGAAGTGTGTCAGAAGGCCCGGCTACTTACCCTCCTGCTTCATCCTCATTCCCAAACGGAATGAGGATCGAAGCAGAGGGCGGGGTAAAGAAGGGGGCGGGGCTTCACCACGTGACCGCCCCGCCCCCTAGAGGTTCTCTTCCGGAGCTCCGTCCCTGAGAGCTCCCCCCCGACTAGAGCCCTGCCCGCCACCAAGTACCCATAAACACACCCCCTACTCCTAATAGGCTATTTACAGTAACCGGGTGACCATTGGTCTCCCGGCTGGAAAGCTAGCCCTTTGATTGGGCCAGCTAGGATCCTTCGGATCCTTTGTCTTTCGACTCAAGCTACAGACGGTTTGTGCCTGGCCAGCCCGGGCAAGTCCGGGCATGTCAGGCTGAATACATTACAAAAGCAGTCAAGATCATCTAGATAGAAGAGGCTACAAAAGAAAGCTCAAAACAGCCTGGCAATTTTGATAAGAACATAAGATAAGCCAGTATTGGATCAGGCCAATGGCCCATCTAGTCCAACACTCTGTCACAGAGTGGCCAGAAATGCCAAAAATATAGAAGCCCTCCCACTGTTGCTCCCCCCCCCAGCACCAAGAATACAGAGCATCCCTTGCCCCAGACTGAGAGTTCCTATCTATACCATGTGTCCAATAGCCACTGATGGACCTCTGCTCCATATGTTTATGCAATTCCCTCTTGAAGCCATCCATGCTTGTAGTCACTACCACTTCCTGAGGCAGTGAATTCCAAGTGTTAATCATTCTTTGGGTGAAGAAGTACCTCCTTTTATCTGTTCTAATCCGACTGCTCAGCAATTTCATTGAGCGCCCACGAGTTCCTGTATTGTGAGAAGTAGTTTTGGTACATTTCAGGACCCGAATGTTTTTAATCATGGTGGATTAAAAGCACTTCAGGGTGTCTTGAAATTGCATGTTCCATTGCTTTAGCCATGTTGATCTGTTCTGACAACCAGAAGGATTCTTGTTGCACCTGTAAAAGACTAAGACGGGCTGCCAAACTCCAGTACGTGTGTCAAACAGCATGTGCCAGGCCCTTTAGCCCAGCACACAATGCCAGCTCTCCCTAAAGGACTGGAACAAGCCCCTGATGTTCTGGCAGTACTGCTGTTGTCTCTTGTTGCTCTCTTTTAATGTCTGGCCAACCTTCATCTCATTCACCCTACTCCTCCCCCCTTTTGCTTGCTAACACACCAACCTCAAAGCTTTCATAGGCTACAACCCACTTCAACAAACTGTATGGTTAAAAGACTGAACATATTAGCTGTTGCAGCTTCCGAAGACATGTAGCAAAATAGGCTGTCATGCGATTTTTTTCTCCTCATGATAATACTATTCAACATTTGTTTGTTCTATACGTAGAGTAAGCCCATATCAGTAAAATGTTGTGTGTAAATGGCCCAGATTCAACAGTTTAGAAGCTGCTGCTCCATATTAAGCTCTACACAGGAAACAGAAGACAAGCCTGGTTTGTTTCTTATGTGAATGCTCTGAGCTCTAAATATGATTCCAGACTAATGAAATCACTGCATGTTACTAAACTGTATCAAAATGAACTGAGTGTTCTCCCCCCCCCCCCATCCCTCTTTTGGAAGAATTTATTCATAAATAAAATGTACCATGTGATCTAATCTGATGGGCATGTGCAATTCCTCCATTTGCAAAGCTGCTCCATTAATTTCAATAAAGGAAGCAGGTTGACGTGTGCATTCTTTCAGAGGGGTCTGGAAGGCTCCAACCAGGTCAGAATATTTCTAGAGTTGGAGCTCCACTGGGGGCAGCTGCCAGTTTGATCTGCTTGTTATCCAATGTTTATTAAGATTTGAGTCTTAGATTATGAAATATAGTTTTCTTGAAGATGTCACTTTGTGCGCATTCTTATTTTGACCATTGCCCTCTTCTTTTTTTCTTGCCTTGTAATATAATTGCAGAAGAAAATGCTGAAAGGACAAGGGACGTTTGATGGCGAAGGTAAGAACTAGCTTTTGGATTGTGTGGTGTGATACCTCAAAAAAAAAGATGCAGAAGAAAACAAAAGCAAATAAGTTGTACAGTACAAGCAAACGTTTGCACCAACAGAGCCAAATAAGTTGTGTTGTTGCAAAAAAAAACTTCTTTCAGTTCAGACTTATAGGGGCAGGGCTGAAGAAATCAATCATGAGGTTACCAGGTTATGATTACTGTGTCAGATTTCTCAAAGTATATGCATTTTTGGATATGCCAGACTGCACTGTGTGTTGCTCTAGTCTGTTCTGTCATTTCTCTTTTATCAAGCTGTACTGTTGCTCCTTTATCTCTGCTGCAAACTTGGTTGGAGAGGATCTCCTCTGCTTTGACTTTCACTTCTCTGTGTATCCTCAAGGCTGTCTTGGAGATCCAGTTGTCATTACCATTATTTCTCTTCCTTTCATACTTCTTTGTTTTTTATTCCCTAGGAAGATACTTAATTTTTGTTTGCTTTATCAGGCAAATTAGCACTTTGCTTTTTTCTCTCTCTCCACATACAAGTCCTGCTTTCCCTCCTTTTTTTACTATTATATTTGCTGCTTCCGTCAAAACTTTGGCTAGCATTCTTTGACTTCTTTGCTACATAAAACAAACTTCTAAGGTCAGTTTTGATTTTGTTTCTTCCTGCCATGCCTCAGTTCTCTTAGTCTGAAACACCATCATTATTCCCTTTACCGACAATGAGGATAAAATACATGTTTAGTATGTTATAAATTGTGAATGCTTTTTTTTGGATTGTGAACTTACCAGAACAATGGTTTAGTTGTTTGGCAGAGACATTACATTATGTGCTGGTACTAATATATATTTTCAAATGACATGCATTTTCCTACACTTTATAAATTCAAGGCCTTCAACCCAAGCTGTAAAGGTTACAACAGCTGAAACGAATCTGACTTGAGAAATTAAAAGCAGTGGGTGACGGCCCCAGTGAGAGGTCAGATTCTGTTTCCACTCAAATGGGTAAAGTAAAAGCAATAATTGCGCTACAGACATTCAACCTGATCCTGTGCATACACGCACATAAGTAAGCACTACAGAATTAAGTGTAGCTTAGTCCTAAGCAATGGTGCATAGGATTGCAGGACTGAAGACCCGCAGTATAGTTTATTCCACATTCGTAGAGGGCTTTCTCTTGGCTGTTTAAAAGATGTTCAAATCCTTGTTTAATAAGCTTGTGTTGGAGCAAAAGTTATATAGACTTCTCTAAACTGTATCATTGCACACTATTTTCAGAGTACAAAACTAATATATGTTATGACCTCTTCTCAACCTCTTCTGGATTTATGTCTCCAGAAAAGATGGAAGGACGGAACCTCTGTCCCCAGTTTCTTTGGTGGCACCCAAAAGCCATGTGTAAAAATCCTGTGTTTTGCTTTGCAATCATTTTATAGATGAGGCGTGTAATGGCTGGACTCCTAACAGTGAAGTCTTAAGCAGAGTTATACCCTTCTAAATCCACTGAGTTAATAGGCTTAAACATCTGTAATCCTGTTTAGGATTGCACTCGGAAAAGGCTTTTAAAAAAACATTTTTGGGGACCAGGTACTGTAGTTTGTCTAGTTCTGTCAACTTTTGCTAGGCAGAGCAATGACTTCTGCAGTGCAAAGGGGCAGCAAACATGGAGCTACTGTCTAGCCCTTGTTCGCCGAAAAATGAGAGTCTGAGGACATAAGGCAGGATAGAAATGTTTTACATAAATATTTTTGATACTATTTATTGCTTTTATTAATTTTTTAAATGGTGATACTTATGTTAGCTATTCTGTAGCTTGATGTATTCAGTGAAAAGGTGGGATACAAAACTTATGGTGAAAGACAGGATATGATTAAATAAATACATTTTCTGAAATAAATAAATCAGAAGACTCTTGTTGTCATCTAAATCCACAAGTTTGCTGTCATGTGTATGTGAAGTGCATGTGCATGTGCATGCTGGTTTCCCCATTCCTTTCGGTCCATATGTTCTGTATGAGCATCCCTTAGCATTTTGTAGAACTGTTCTTCATTTAATGGAAAAGGTCAGGTGAGGAAAGGCTTCATTGTGTACACGGGATTACTGGACTGAAGTACTGAAAAAAACTGAGAAGAATTGATAGTTTCCATTGTACAGGGAAAGACAGTTCGGTGTTGTGGTTAAGAGTGACGGACTCTAATCTGGAGAACTGAGTTTGATTCCCCACTCCTCCACATGCAGCCAGCTGGGTGACCTTGAATCAGTCACAGTTCTTTCAGAGCTGCTCTCTTAAGAGCAGTTCTGTCAGAGCTCTCTCAGCCCCACCTACCTCACAGGGTTTGTGTTTGGGGAGAGGAAGGGAAGGAGATTGTTAGCCGCTCTGAGACTCCAACTGAAGGTCAGCATATAAATCCAACTCTCCTCCTCCTCCTCTGGGAAATAACTGTACGATGGGGCTTTCCTCCAACACAGGAAGACCTCTGCTGAAACAGAGCCTCTCACCATCAGAACATTCTCTGCAGTGAAGGAAATCACTACCATTAGTAGAATAGATCTATGGGATCCAACCCAACAAAATAAGTTTCAGATCTTTTAAAAATAAAACCAAAAAGCTGCTTTGAATTTGCAATCAAAATAAATGGAATCAGCTAAAGTTATATATGCTGGTTTAGCTGAATAAATTATTCCAGTGCCAGAACTTGATGTTTATATTTTCAGAAATTGGGATTTTTAATGCAGAATTCCAGTTACCAGTATAGTCCATGGGACTTTACCCTGACGATTTTCATGTACGAGAATACTGTTTTATTTTACAGTATTACTGTGAATTTGCAGCATAATACTATGAGATTATCTGATTCTTGGATCATTAACCTTTCTTTATTACGGTTGTGTGTGTGGTAGATTAAATTAAAACAGTCAAGGGCTGCAGTCACACAAGGAGTTTGCTGCGATATAGTAGCATTATCTTTACGGATTTAAAGAGTACTATCAGACAGAAACCTCTGCCTTCCGTGCCTGTATAGTGTTGCCCCACTATAGAAGTGGAGTAACCAGGCACTGGGGAAGGTCTGATGTTTTTTTTTTATGTAATAAGAATTTTATTAGGAAATTCAATAAAATCTTACAAATATAACAAACCTTTTTCTTTTTACACATAACAAGGAAGGTCTGATGTTTACGAATGCCAGCGCTTCCACTCCACTTTCCTGGATGTCTGAACTCTCCTGCCACAATAGGAACCCAGAAGGGAAGTCTGAACCTGCAGATCCATTTCCACCACGGTTTTTTGGGAGTTGCTGCCTATATGCGTGTGAACGCATATGCGCATGCACCCGCCTGCATTAAAACAAAAGCATCCAGGCAGTGCACTCCATGGTTGAAGTGCTGCATTAATATGAATGCCTGACCACCAGACAAGTGCATGGGGAAACCACCCCTGGGTGTGCTATCTGGTCAGTCTGCCCTACAACACTTTAAACTGGTACAATTAGAGGCGCACCCAGATCATGGCAAACCTCTAGTGTGACCGCAGCCTAAGACAAGGAAAGATGGATTTAGTAGTTTATATGAATTATGAAATTGAAAATGCTTATATGTATTTGTTGTGTTTCCCACTAGTCACTTAGAAGGGGAAGAACAATGTCTCTCAAAAAAATTTTTACTAGCCTTTGGCCACATATTTTGTGCTCTGTTTATTGCCATCATAAGGACTAGAAACTTGACTTTTAAAAATATATAAGGTGGTGATTCCAGATTTAATTCTTCATTTGTTTGGAATGCACACAACAATTTTTGGTTAAAACAAATCTTTCGCTCTACTGCTTTTTATAAACAGAGGCTGAAGGAGAATAAAATTGTTTCTCATTTTCTTCAAGAAAGAACACAAGCTATATTGAGTTTGGATGGAAGGCATCTTTTTAGTGATACAGTGATCCATTGTTACTGTCATATCTATTATGCTGTTGTATGTTCCAAACAAGAGCCTATCTTTGTATACTCGGCATGGGCTTGATATTCACAATTTTGTAGTTTCTATACTACAGAAAGTGTTCTCAAATCAGTTTCTTTTTCATGGTGTTGTAGAAAATGCTGTATTGTATCAGAACTACAAAGAAAAAGCACTAGATATAGATTCCGATGAAGAGGCAGAATTGAAAGAACAGAAGTCAGATGAAAAGATAGTTATTCAATACAAACCTCTGAGATCAACATGGAGTCAGTTGTCTGTGGTAAGTGCCATAAAGTTATGTAGCCCAAAACCAAATTGAAATGCAGTCGTGCATGTAAGCAAGTCTCTTATCTGCCAGTGTCCTTTTCAACTTGAGGTTTTATGGCCTTTTAATCGCCCTGGAAGAACCTCCCAGAGTGAAATGTTTATGGACCTGGAGATAATACTCAGAGCTGTAACTGACAAAGAAACACTGCTGCTGAATTTATATTCTTGACGTGGTTAGACTTATGCAAACAAGTCAATTGCATTAGCTGCAGGACCCATGACTTTTCAGATTCTTGAGCTTTTTTTTAGTAAAGTAGCCATAAGGAGAGATTTTAATGAAAATCAAATAAAAAAGATGAACAGAATTCCCAGGGATGTGCACTTCCTTCCCCACCCTTTTGTCTTCTACCACCCCTTTCTTCCTTATACTTTCTGTTATTTTTGTATCAATGCAACCGTGGTTAATACAAACCAAGTACCCTTATAAGTGAGAGATTTGTAACCATGATTTGAAGTAGGTCGCAAATCCTTTTTGATTTATGTTAACTATGGTTTCTTGCTGCATATTCCTGTGGTAAATGCTCCAAATTGCTTTTTAAAACTCAGGGCAGTTTAAAGAGGACATCTTTGCCACATGATACACCCAGTCCCACTCCCAACATTACCAGAGAAGCACGGAAAATGACCAAGTAGAAACAGCAACCAATACTGAAGGCATGCAAGAATCTGACCCAATATGATACAATAACATTTGCATGATTCTCTGGTTTTGCAGATGTTGGCTTAGTTAAGCAAATATCACAGAGGTCAAGGTTCCCTTTTTTGTTTGTATAATACAGTCTGCTATGGTTACAAGTACAATTTAATTAACGATGTAAAAGGATTGTAATTGACTTTCTATATTTAATACTGATTCTTGGCAGTATCTTTTCATACTAGAATTTTTTAAAAAAATTTATAATAGCAAACACGTCAAAAGTAAATGTTTTTAACATCATGAAGAATCATCCTCTTCCCCCTAAGCAAAATATATCAGCATATTATTTATCCAGTGAACTAAATTTACAAAACTATTACAATGACAAAATGGTAATAACATCATAACATTTGCAATGAGAAGAGATGTGACAGGGAAAACCCTCTCTGTTTCTGTATTTTGTGTATCCTTTTTAGGCCTTTCAGAGAAAAACAAGCAGGAACCCACAAGGGTTTGTGGGGGAACATCTCATTTCCCCTTCCCAACTTTTTCTTCTTTCCCTTCCCTGAAAACCCTAACCTTTTAATTAGGCCCTTTCCTGCCTAATTCTCTCCTTCACACCCACCAGCCAGCCTACCTTTAGCTGCCCCCCCCCCTCAGCTTTTCCTCCTTCCATGCCTCTGGAAGCCTCTGCTCAGGAAAACTGTGGCCCAGTTGGGCTTTGCCAGTCACCAGGCCAGGCCCAGTTTCACAGAAGGGAACTTCAGTGAGGGGACCTCTTTTTCCCCTGTATCACCTTTGTCTTCACCACAATAAGCAGAGTGGGAGCAGGGATAAGAAGGAAGTGGGGTGAGATCAAGTGATCTAAAGGCAGGACAGGGAGCTAGCAAAGGTGGGGAGAGTAGCAGCTGGAGCTATGGAGAGGAATAGAGCTAGTTTAGGGAGAAGGGCTACAATCAAGGGAAGTAAAATTTCCCGTTCCCTGGAAGTCCTTTCAGGTCCCCAATTAATAATAATAATGATTTAAAAGCACCAAGGGAAGTGTGAAACGAGCTGTGTCTTCTCTGTCCTCTTGCCCTTTGCATCAGGTTATACCCCTTCTGTTATGAAAAGGGGATGCAGTGAAACTGACACTGGAACGGAGATTGCAAGTCAAGGGCCGTAAAATAGTTGGGCCACGTTTTCACTAAAGGTTTGGATAAACCCACTGTCAAGTACCCTTCTGATCGGAGAGAAATGCTATGTAAACAGGCTCTTCTTCCTGACTGTGTGCCAGACAAAAAGAAAGTGGACTTAAAACTTCCACTATTGTATGCACAGTGTCATCTTTTTAATCTTAGATTACTTAGTTTAAGATTGGAACACATGCCAGCCTATTTAGACAAAAAACAGTCTTTTGGGACTGTTTTTGAACTGGAGGTGTTTCAGTTTTTGAGCCTGGATAGAAAAGAAAAGGCTGCTGGCTGAATGCTGTGGTTGGCACAGAGACTAGACAACTTTTGGCAGTCAGGAGGATGCCTAAGTGAAGTAAATGCTCTGGCTTTTTATCACAGGATGTAATAGGGGAAAAAGTAGAGACGCTCTGGAGTATATTTACATAGCAGGCAAGCACTGTAAGCACACTCTTCTGTCTCTTTCTGTGTAAAAACTGAGTTAAGTTGGGAGGTAGGAAGGAGGTAGAATATTGTGGAATTTTTTATTTTAGTAGGTCTACATTTTTAAAAACATTCTAAAAGAATGGAGATGTATTCTGCAAGAATTTTGTTTAGTTTGGGGTGGAGGCGGTAATCACAGTTCTGCTCAGTCTCAGAGATTAATGTACAGCAGTTTCTAGTTTGAACCTTGATCATAAATTTTGATAAGCTTATCTGTTTGAGATAATGCTCCTGCAAGGGTGGAACAATATGATTTGGAACACTGTATTGGTACAATGGCCAAAGTATGTTAGATTATAGACTGGCAGAGTGCCCTCCTATATGTAAGGACCTTGTCTAAGGCTGGCTTAAGCATACTTATTATAGAGTATTTCCCACTGAAGTTGGTGGGAATTACTTTTGAGTAAATGCAGACTTGGATCTACTGGAGTGTTTCTATAGACAGAAGGATTTCTACATACAGAGGATGACTTTTTCACTTGCCGTTGCAGCCTAAAATGCATCTCAAAATTCTACTCCTTGGGGAGATGAGACCCCCAAGAGCAGCATTTTTGGGAGCATTTGGGGTTGAAGAAGGAGGGGGAAGGCAGGAAAGTCATTCTTTGAGGGCAAGCATCCTTCCATCCATGGAGATACTCCAATGGATACAAGCCATAGTTAGGATGGTATTTCTCAGTATCTTGGAAATGATTTATTTTTATTTTATTTAAAGTCCACCTTTGCTTGGGTGCTGGCCATCTTCCTAAACTGTGTTCTTCTGTTCTGATTACGTTTTTTGTTGTTTTGTTAACCTTAGCAAGATTTTAATTTTTTTTTATTATACTCCTTTTCATAATTTAAACATGTGAAAAGCAATAATGAGGTTACATTCCAGCTATATAACTAACAGATTAAACTTAAGCCCAGTCCAGTTTGTAACCTGTTCATTTCCTATTCCCTTATCCTACCCGCATATGAAACCACCGTACAGTTCCCTCTAAATAGCATTTTTCCTTAATGCATCCTTTAAATCTTCCGATGAGTTATTACGCATTCTTCTGACTTCTTTTCTGTTAATTCTATTACTATTGTTTTCCTATCGACTTCTATACCTAAAAAAAAAGAAAGCTGGACAGGGTTGCCTCTGATACTGGGGCTGAAGAGGAGACCCCTTCAACAGGAGGAAATCCTCCTCCCCATTACCAGAGGCCTTAGGGGGAGCACACCCTTCATCTCCTTGCTATGCCCACTAGCTATAACTACTTCTGTATTATTATTTTTAACTAAACTTAAAGTACCCCCCCCCCCAAATTTGATTTCAACCAATTTGTGTTAGTCTGTTAGAAAATATAAAATAGTTATCTTCATATTCTTAAGATAGAGAAAAAACCTATATTCAGCATTTATCATTTCTTTCAGGTGAAGAAGAATGGCCTATCTCAAACTATCAGCCAAGAAGAAAGAAAAAGACAAGAGGTATTTGAATGCACCAAGTACATATAGGCTGTGGTCACACAAGCAGTTTTGCCATGGTATAGCAGTGTTACCTTTGCAGATTTAAAGAGCATGATCAGATAGCAACATCTGCCTTCCGTGCCCCAGTTGTCGGCACCCTGTGTTGCCCTGCTTTGGAAGCGGAGTAATAAGGGACCGGGGAAAGTCCGGAGTTTACGAATGCCAGCGCTTCCACTCCACTTTCCTGGACATCTGAACTCTCCTGCCACAAAAGGAACCCAGAAGGGAAGTCTGAACCCACAGATCCATTTCTGCCACTTTTTTAAAAAATTGCTGCCTATATGTGCAGGTGTGCATGAGCACATATGTGCATGCACCCGCCTGCATTAACACAAAAATGACTGGGCAGCATGCTCCGTGGTTGAGGTGCTGCAGTAATGTGAATGCCTGACCACCAGACGAGTACATGGGGAAATCACCCCAAGTTGTGCTGTCCAGTTGGTCTGCCCCGCAAAACTTTAAACCGGTGCAACTAGAGGCATGCCCAGATTGTGGCAAGCCTCAAATGTGACCGCAGCCATAGTTGTTAATTAGCACAGTGCTTTGATATGTATGCTTTCAGGAGATCGGTCTCAATAAATTATGGTTTCCTGTTCCATTTCATCTCTCTATTATGGTACAGCAGTGCCTTTTTTATCCAGACTTCCTAGAGATATGAAGCATGCTAGAATGAAAGTTGCTAAGGGATATATAAAGTGTAAACACATTGGTATCTGGTATGCAGTAAGTATCTAATGATCAGAGGGTGAGATAAAAAGCCTGAAGTGGCTTGATTGGAATCTTTCCTAGATTGTGCAAATGCAATACTCTCTCTGTTGCCTGAAATATGGTCTGCATAAAAAATACCTTACATTTAGACCCATCCTACTCCTGCAGTTCAAAGTATAGAATCATAGAGTTGGAAGACTCCATACAGACCATCTAGTCCAACCCCCTGCCCAATGCAGGACCAGCCTAAAGCATTTACTTTTTAACCAGTTGTGTGACCGTCATCCTCACATTCCACTCTATATGCATTTTCAGATAGTGAGTGGATATCTTCTGTTTTCTAAAATATAATATGAGGAGTGATTCTAAAAATTTGTTTTATCCTCCTCAACCCTCTCCTCTGTTCTGTAGAGGCTGCTTCTGTACAGTTGATGAATATGGATAAGCTCCTCCACCTCCTTTTAAAGGCTTGAGAAACACCTGAAGGGAGCTGCCCCCTCAGATCAATCAGTCGTGCTAATTCGGTGAAAGACCACAAGGAAGGACCTAAAGATCCTTTTGTGAGTGTAAGTCATCAGATTTTTAAGTTGAATATGGTCAGCATTAGAGAGCACCTGGAGACGTTGTAGTGGACAGAGAAGAGCCAGAGCTTGGGGCAGTTCTTTTCAGCTGCAGTTCAAGCCCAAAGGAGAGGAGCCTGCCAGAGGAGTGAGGAGAGCCTGACAAAATAGTGAATGATTTGCCCAAGCAGGGGGTGGTAGAATGAACTGCATGAGCTCTTAAGTTCAGGTTTCAAACCATTAAATCCTGCTTTGAATGATCCTTAGCATTAAAAACACCCCTTAATGAAAATAGAAAACTTCCATAATTCTTCACTTGACATCAGAAGTGGCACAGAAAGTTCTGCCTTCTCAGTATTGCCTCCTGTAGTTCTCTCCTGTTCTCCTCACACTCAGCTGCAAGATGGGATAACCCAGCTGAATGGGATGGGTATCAAGGCATATATGACATGTGGCTTAGGGTGAAGAAAGGACAATGACAGTAGCTTGAGAGGAAGAGAGCCTGAAAGAGATTGTGATGAGTGATGGTGGGAACAGGTTGGCTGTTGAGAATATCCTGGAAGGATATAGATCTTCAGATTTCTCTGTGAACCCTTCCTGCTCTCTGGCCAGAGGACACAGAATAAGTACCAATGGTAAATGAAAGCAGTCTCCTGTAGCATACCCAGAAAGTAATAGTCGGTGGTTGGAATAGTTAACTTGAGTGCCATTTCACTTGTGAGAGTGGATTGTTTAAACTCAGTAAACTAATATTATAATGGCATGAAGGATAACACTATTAAGTGGTATTTCAGAAAGGGGGGGGGAATGCCACCACATTTGTAGTAGTTTATTAGTTCTGCACTCTCAGTGGTGCGCTAAACTTAGGAGAACTACATAGGCTGGCCTCAATATTAGGGGCGGGTTTCCCCCCGTTTCAGACCACTGTCAGATTAAATGCACCTGAATCCCCTAGTGCCATATGCAAAGCTTCACTACACATTTGGTCTCTAAGAGTTCTACGGAGCATTCATAAACTATGAAGCGTTAGACATCTGTTTGCATTGATGCCATGCAAATTAGGTATAATTCTATTTCACACTGTTGCTCATGGGGGGCTGTCACTTATCTTCACTACGAAATAGTAATTGGTAAATATGTTCTCATTGTTCGTCTCTGATTAGTCTCACTGGGTTACGCAGTAAGCTTATACATTTCTTGTTCTATTTATTTTGAGCTGATCAAGTATTCAGAGAGCTGCTGAGAACTCCCCCCCCCCCATTTTAGAGTATTTAGAGCATTTAGAGCACATATCTCATTTTGACTTTCAAACTGGTATGGTCATCCTTGATTTTCTCAGCTGGGAAGGAATCAATGAAGGCTCTCATCAGTACTGGGAACAAAGAATCTTTAAATAGTGTAGTGAAGACTAGGGCTCAGATGTCCTTTCTCTGAACAAAAAGGAACAGATTGAAACAAATTAGTCACGGAACTCTGTAGCTCTTTCTAGGCAAATCCTTTCCTCATGATTGCAGGGAAGGGGACGAGGGTAGCAGGAATCTGAAGGCAAGAATATTTTTGGGAAACTAGCATCCTTGCACTAAGGCTTCTTCCATCCCCTCCAGTTGTTTATACAAAGAAGATTTATGCCAATAAAGGTGTTGTATTTGTATACAAAGAAGAGCACGTATCTTTCCTTGTGTTCAATTGTGAAGTGTGGACTTCTTTAAAAATAATAGTACGACTGCTTATCCAGTTGATGAGTGTGGTGTAGTAATATATATGACAGCTAAAATGACTAAGCTGAGGCTGTTGTACATTGATCGTGTCATGAGAAGGCAAGGCCCATTGAAAAAAACAGTAATACTTGGAAGATTGAAGGTGGTGGAAAAGGAAGAGCTGACATGAGATGGATTGACTCAGTAAAGGAAGCCAGGGCTCTCCGTTCACAAGACTTGAGCAAGGCTGTTAAAGACAGGACATTTTGGAGGTCATTAATTCACAGGGTTGCCATAAGTCTGAAGTGACTCGATGGCATAAGACACACACATGGCATACTTCAGGGCTGGCATAGTTTAAAAGGTAATGGCAGTGCAAACCATACCAGAACCCAACTTGAATGTCAAAACATCTTTGCATGCGCAAAAGTCTTTTACGTCTTTTACATTAATGGTGGCATGCTACTTGAATGAAGCCTCACTATCAAGTACTCTAGTGTTGATCTTGAACTGAGTAAAGCAAAAAAGCAGAGAAGGAGGATGATATGCAGGACAATGTACAGTTTGGCAGGCGTGGGTGTGTGTGGGTGGCTATATGTGCATTCTGGAGACTTACCCTTTTCGGCCAGCTGACCTTTTGTAAAAGATCTGGCACAGCTGCTTTCAAGGAGCTGAATTTTTAACTGTGGAGAAATTCTTGTGTCCCTAGAGAGGTTTTTCATTACTTGGGAGTTTGTTTATACAAGGTTTTCCAACAAAACCAATGGATTTCTCTCTTGTCTTTCAAAATAGACTTTAGTGTTCTTTATGGTAATACTGTACCAGAAAGAGACACATTTTTCCAGGTATCACCTTTTAATGTTTCCCAACACTGGAACAAACAACCATTTTTCATTTTTATAGCAGCTTAAGTATGGAATGTTTTTAAAATTTGCTACCAATATTATTCTCACCACACACATCTGAGACAGATTACACTGTAACCAGCCTGTTGTCACCCAGCTGACTTCATACACTGTAAAAAGGGTTTCTGACATTCAGATCCTAGCACTGGCATATGGGACGGTAGTGAACCGGTAATATGAGGCAAAACCATGGGTTATTTAATTACAAAAAAATACACGGCAAACACTTGGCCATGGGTCAGTGCAGTATCATTCTGATGTACATGTATGCTAATTTTAAACATCTGCATCACCCTTATGTTTTTTTTTTTTAAACCAAGATACACTCTAAATCTGTAATGTGTGACATGGCCCTGAAGGGGCATGCGTTTTATGCACTTCTGAGACATGGGTCTAATGTATGGTTAAAGGCCTGGTCAATGCTTGGACAGGAGGCTTTCTGGGAACCCTGGATATACTGCCTTAAATTCAATGTGGGGAAATGGTGGTGTGCAAATGAGTTCAGGAAACTTTGAATTATTTTTAATAGAGCAGTCCCAGAACAGGAATTTAAAAACTTGGGTGTATTTGTATGATGCCCATTATGAATAGATGCTACTAGGATATAATTTTTCATCTAAAGACAAAAGGATTGACTTCAGTGTGTCTTTCTCATCTTGCAGGCTATATTTGAAGTAATATCTTCAGAACATTCATACTTGCTCAGCCTGGATATTCTGATCCGGATGTTTAAGAACTCTAAAGAACTCAGTTCCACCATGACCAAAACGGAAAGCCATCACCTTTTCTCCAATATTGCTGATGTCTGTGAAGCAAGCAAGAAGTAAGTGTTAAAACAGAGATGTCCTTTCTTAAAAAATGAAAACAACTGATTCTTTCATGACAAACCTGTTTTTAAACATTATTATTATAGGAGAAGAATGCATTTTCTTTGTAAACAAACATAATCTTTTGTGGTAGCAGCCAATGTTCCCTCTAAGCTGTGGAGTCTTGTGAGCAAAAATTCTACTTTGTGAGCTACTGGCATTAAAGTTGTGAGCGAGTGATTTGGCTACTGCATAAATTAGTTTGCTCTGGAGCCATCCTTCCTGAGCTGAGACAAAAATGTGTGAGCCAGAGGCTAAAAAACTGTGAGGTAGCTCACACTAACTCAGCTTAGAGGGAACGCTGGTAGTAGGCTTGCCAAACCCCCGCTGGGGACGGGGGATTCCCCGATTTCAATACCCCCTCCCCGCTTTTGAAAAATCGGGCCCCGGGGGAAAAAAATGGCGCCGGAAAGTGACGCTCTAGGACTTAAGTCCTCCAAGTCTCTATGGTTCTGAAAACCATAGAGACATGGTGCCAGAGCGTCAGTTTCCAGTTCCCTGGTGGTGGGCGTGGATATCTGCCGCTTTGAGGAGGAAAGTTGATGCTGCCTCTAAGGTCTGGAGTCTGGAGGCTTGTGAGCAAACATTCTACTTTCCGAACTTCTGGCCCTAAAATTGTGAGTGAGCAGTTTGGCTGAGTAGCGCAAGTAAAGAGCGCAAGTAGAAAGCCTGGGCTGGAGCGGAGCAGAATCGCACCCCAGAGAGACACCCGGCTTTTCAAAACGCGGGACGAGAGGGAAGAGGCGAGGGGGAGAGGGAGGTGGGGTGGGGGCAGGAAATAAAACGGTTGGCTGACCAGTCACAACCAGTGTAGCGAAACTGAAAAGTTCAACCGACTCATCTTCCAGCCGATTTTTTCCTCTCCTCCCCCACCCCCTTTCCAAAGAAAGACTCTGAAGCTGAAAGTTGGGGGCAGTCTGCTATTCTGCAGCAGGAAGCGCTTCTTCTCTCCCCCGCCCCCGTTGTTACAGGCTTTGTGTTTCCGTCTTTCCTCCTCCCCAAGCAAATTGACAAGAGGATTGGGTAGCTGTTCAAAGCACTTTGCACCTCCCCTGCAGAGCCCCGAGTGCTCCTTAGAGAGAGTGAGAGGCTTAGTTGGTCAAGCCTTTCATTTTGTCATCTTCGTAGCTCTGGTCAGCTGGGAGGAGATGAATAATCCAGATGTTCTCCTTGCCCAGGAACATGCAATCCGCAGCTCGCTTGCTCTGTCTTTCTCTCTCTCCCTAATGATCGGTCATAAGCAGTTGCTGACCGGCAAGCCACTTCCTGCCCTTACTTCACCTCTGCGCATGACAAATGGAATGCCTGACTGTAACCTGACCCAGCAGGGAAACGGCTCCGACATGCGACCAAGACTTCATCATAAAGTTAGTCTGTACTGTTTTAGTTCGCTCAGGGTCTCCCCCCCCCCTTTTTGCAACTGGCTCTTTGTATCTGCCATTGAAATGTGCCTTTGTTCCCCAGGACATTCCTCCAAAGTAACAAGGCATTGTACAAGCATTTGAGTTTTCCTCAACTCTTCATCATGCTAGGTGGTGGTGGGGAAACGGGGATATCTCATGTCATGGCCACAGGGCCTGATGGAGGGCTTAACCACTCAAAAGTCTGCAGGCTGTTTTGTATTGTTGTGAGATTATTCCTAATAAAAGGTATTGCATAGTGTTTGTTTTTGGAAAGTTGTCCCAAACTGTAGGCTTGCAGTTTGGGACAGGGCCCAGTTAGAATAAGCATTTCTCTTTCTGTATTCCCAACTTCCCTGGCAGACTTCCCCCTGAGTCCCTGCTAGACCCCTGCCTCTCAAGAGCTCCACTTTGCATCTGTCTCAGGTTCTAAGTTATCTCAGTTTTTGGAAAGTGGATGCCTCTTATTTCTTATTTGGAGGGAATGAAATGTCATAAAGGTGGGGAAATCCCTATCAAATATAGGGAATTGAAAACAAATCAGTCAGTATCATAATGCCCCTGTATAATTCAATGGTGCAACCTCATTTAGAGTACTGTGTATAGTTCTGGTCACCACACTTTAAAAAGGATATTATAGCATTGGAAAAAGTGCAGAAAAGGGCAACTAGAATGATGAAAAGGTTGGAACACTTTCTCTATGAAGAAAGGTTAAAGAGCTTGGGGCTCTTTAGCTTGGAGAAACGATGGCTGAGGGGTGACATGATCGAGGTTTATAAGATTATGCGTGGGATAGAGCAGGCAGAGAAAGAAGTACTTTTCTCCCATTGTCACAATACAAGAACTTGTGGGCACTCAATGAAATTGCTGAGCAGTTGGGTTAGAACAGATAAAAGGAAGTTCTTCTTCATCCAAAGAGTTATTAATACATGGAATTCACTGCCACAGGAGGTGGCAGTGGCTACAAGCATGGACGGCTTCAAGAGGGAATTAGATAAACATATGGAGCAGAAGTCCATCAGTGGCTATTAGCCACAAGGTATAGATAAGAACACTCAGTCTGGGGCAAGTGATGCTCTGTCTTCTTGGTGCTTGGGGGGGGGTCAACAGTGGGAGGGCTTCTAATGTCCTGGCCCCACTAATGGACCTCCTGATGGCACCTGGTATTTCTGGCCACTGTGTGACACAGAGTGTTGGACTGGATGGGCCTCTGGCCTGATCCAACATTGGCTTCTCTTATGTTCTTATGTCACATGACTGCCATTGTCACACTCCTGCCTCCTCAGGCTGGCTGGCTTGACATTGCATAGCACTGTTTCAGACCAGCTTTGAGGTAGCCTAGTACAAATAGTGCATTATTTCCCTATTTCCCTCTTTCTCTTTCAGTGGAACATTTCAGTGCGTGCTTATCTTTCCTACTGAAATCAGTGAAAAGGGCTTCACTTTTGACTGGATTCTGTTATGCCATGCTTAAACTATTTTTGCTACCTTGCCAGGTCATTCATTTTTATTGTTCCCCAATTCTGTAAATTGATTCTAGTCCAAATGTATTGTTTATTGGAGGCCCTTGCTGTTTGTATTCTGCCCTGAGTCTTAGTGAGGAAGGCAGGCTATAAATGAAGCTGAAAATAATAATAATGATATGTATTGGATGGTCTCTGCCTGTGTGTTGTATACGTCTTCTTAAATCAGTTGTGATGGGTACCAGTGTTCCCTCTAAGTTGAGTTAGTGCAAGCTAGCTCACAGTTTTTTTAGTCTCCAGCTCACACATTTTTGTCTTAGCTCAGGAAGGATGGGTCCAGAGCAAACTAATTTATGCAGTAACCAAATTGTTTGCTCACATCTTTAATGCCAGTAGCTCACAAGACTCCACAGCTTACAGGGAACATTGGTGGGTATGTATAAAGTATTATATTGGCATCAATAGAATTAAAGCACAACGTGATGGCAGTATTTTCAAATTAACACTGCATTTTTGTGGTGCTTTGTTTTTTATGGACTGTTTTGAAGTTATGATTTATACTTGGTATGCGAGCTGAGTGGAATGAGTCTCTATTGCTGCTTTAAACCAATTCTGTTTTATTTTTTGGCCTGGATTGTTTTCTGCTAAAACCTGACACGCTTTAAAAAAAGACAGAAAGGGGGGACAGTGGGAGGGCTTCTGGTGTTCTTGACCCACTGCTGGACCTCCTGAGGGCACCTGGTATTTTTGGCTGATGTGTGACACAGTGTATTTATCTTTTGTATATGGTTTCCCATTTGTGCTTACCTTACAATAGTAGGCTGATGCAGTGCTAGGGGCAGGCCTTCTGTGCTGCTGCTAGTCCACCAGTTTAGCCACAAGGTATAGATAGGAACTCTCAGTGTAGGGCAAGTGATGCTCTATATTCTTGGTGCTTGGGGGGGGCAGTGGGAGGGCTTCTGGTGTTGTGGCCCCACTGCCGGACCTCCTGAGGGCACCTGGTATTTTTGGCCCCTGTGTGACTCAAAGTGTTAGACTGGATGGGCCACTGGCCTGATCCAACGTGGCTTCTCTTATGTTCTTACGTCTGGGGCAAGGGATGCTCTGCATTCTTGGTGCTTGGGGGGCAAGAGTGGGAGGGCTCCTGGAGTTTTGGCCCTGCTGGTGGACCTCCTGAGGGTACCTGGGTTTTGTCCAGTGTTTCCTCTAAGTGCAAGGTAGCTAACAGTTTTTTAGCCTCCGGCTCATACATTTTTGTCTTAATTCAGGAAAGATGCCTCCAGAGCAAACTAATTTATGCAGTAGCCAAATTGCTCACTCATAGCTTTAATGCCAGTCGCTTACAAAGGAGCATCCCGGGATGCTCCTTTGGGGGAGAGCCTGGAAAGGAACATCACAGGAAGAGGTGGGGTTTTGGTGCAGTGTGCTGGAAGTGACATCATCGGAAGGGGAAGTGACATCACTTGCCATTTGACCTGGAAGTGACATCACAGGAAGTGACATCACAGGAAGTGACATCACAAAAGTCTCCTGGCTCCACCCCCAAAGTCTCCTGGCTCCACCCCCAAAGTCCTCAGATATTTCCGGATTTGGATTTGGCAACCCTAGCTGGTAGCAACGGAATGAGTGAACTGTAGTCTGTACCATCAGGATCCATTTATTGAATGAGTGTGCACAGGGAAAACTAATGGACATGACCCTTCCCTGATGTGCTTTCGTATCTACACTCTCACCCTTTCTATTTGGTCAAATTATTTGAATTTCAGAACTCGAGTAACTTGACTGAATAGATGGGGAGGGCTGAATGGGGGCATGGGAAATGGTTGCAAATCTCCCATTCTTGGGGGGGGGGGGACAGGGCTCACAAGCTCTCATCGGGCAGGGTCACTCTGCGTGCGGGTGCTGCACCCTCATGGGGAAAGATCAAGTCCTTTGTGTGCAGCTGGAGCTTTGCATACTGTTTTGATAGTCTAGCTCCCACTGCCAAAGAAACAGTCCTGAAGTGGTTTTAAAGTGGTTTGTCTCATCAGCAGTGGGAACTGCTACAGTGCAAACATGAAGCAAAGTTCCAGGTGACCCCATGTTTTTTTTCCT